CGCCGCCGCCATGGCTCACTACAAGGGCGCCGCGAGCGAGGCCGGCCGCGCCCTGCATCTGATGAAGAAGCGGGAGAAGCAGCGCGAGCAGTTGGAGCGGATGAAGCAGAGGATCGCGGAGGAAAACATCCTGAAGTCCAGCATCGACAAGAAGTTCTCAGCGCACTGCGATGCCGTGGAGGCAGAGCTCCAGTCCAGCCCCGTGGGTCTCGTGACGCTCCACGACATGAAGGCCAGGCAGGAGGCGCTGGTGAGGGCGCGGGAGAGGCAGCGGGCCCAGAAGGCGCAGTCGAGGGAGCTGCCGCCGAGGCTGGAAAAGCCGCGGGAGAAGGAGCGCAAGAAGCAGGCCAAGCGGGAGCTCTCCAGCCTGTCCTTCACCCTGGCGGAGGAAGAGGAGGGAGGCGAAGAGGAGGCGGCGGCAGCCATGTCTGCCGAGGAGCTGGAAAGGGAAGAGATCGCCACGAAGAAGAGGAAACTGGGGAAGAACCCAGATGTGGACACCAGCTTTCTGCCTGACCGGGACCGGGAGGAGGAGGAGAATCGGCTCCGGGAAGAGCTGCGGCAGGAGTGGGAAGCCAAGCAGGAGCAAATCAAGAGTGAGGCGATCGAGGTCACCTTTAGCTTTTGGGATGGCTCTGGGCACCGGCGGACGGTCAAGATGAGGAAGGGCAGCACCGTGCAGCAGTTCCTGCAGAAGGCGCTGGAAACCCTTCGGAAAGACTTCGGCGAGCTCAGGTCCGCAGGGGTGGAACAGCTCATGTACATCAAGGAGGACGTAATCATCCCCCACCATCACAGCTTCTACGACTTCATCGTCACCAAGGCGCGGGGCAGGAGCGGGCCGCTCTTCAGCTTTGACGTTCACGAGGACGTGCGACTGCTCAGCGATGCCACCGTGGAGAAGGACGAGTCGCACGCGGGCAAGGTGGTGCTCAGGAGCTGGTATGAGAAGAACAAGCACGTCTTCCCGGCCAGCCGCTGGGAGCCCTACGACCCGGAGAAGAAGTGGGACAAGTATACGATCCGCTGAACCTCGGGAGGCGGTGCGACTGCAGCTCTCCGGCTCACCTGGCACTCCGGGGCGTCCCCGGGACTCCAGACACCCTCCGACCCGCCCCGCGCACCAGAAGGACAGTGGCTGCCAGACTCCTGCTCCTCGCACTGCTTTTTTCTTTCACAATAAAGAAGCTGGAACACCAAAAATAAATAAATAAATAAAATTAAATTAAAATAAAAAGCCAGACTAGACTTTTATAGAACATCAGAGCGTGGACGTTTTCAAATATACATACAAAAGTAGAGAAAAGAGTACAGTTACCCCCCAACAACCCACCACTCAACTTTAACAAATACCAGCTGGGCGCAGTGGCTCATGCCAGCGATGCCAGCACTTTGGGAGGTGAAGACGAGGGGAGTGCCTGAGCCCAGGGGTGCGAGACCTGCCTGGGTAACTTGGCGAGACCTCGTCTTTACAATCAATCAATAATTGCCCAGGCATGGTAGCGCATGCCTGTGGTTCCAGCTACTTGGAAGGTTGAGGAGGAAAGATCACCTGAGTCCAACCGGTTGAGGCTACGGGGGGCCTCGAGCATGCCACTACACTCCAGGCTGAGTAACAGAGATTCCTACTCAAAAAACCAAAAAACCCAATTATCAATATTTTTCTGGTTGTGCTTTGTCTCTCCTTTTCTTTTTTTCTGCAGTATTTCAAAAGCACACTTTAAGTACTATATCCTTTCACCAAAATATACTTCATGTGCATCTCTAACAGATATGAACAAATTTTTAATTATAGTCACAATGCCACTGGTATATTTAGCAAAATATAAAGTAATTACAATTGACGTTTTGATACCTTGAAATGAGGCTGCTCTTATGGTTGAAAGAGAATGGGAAGCTGAAGAATCCGGCCGAGGTACCATCTGAAGATGGGAAAAGGCCACATGACTAAACGGTTTGAAGACAGTGGTAGGGAAAAGAAAGTTTTTTCCAGATTGTGCCAAGTCCAACAAATCTGACAAACCAGTCATTCATGTTTGATCAGAATGTCAACTCTGCATTACTCATAATTGATCTGGCACAAACAAGAAAACGGACCCCCAAGCTTAATATGTCGTTTTGAAGTTCAGTAGATGAGAGTGTTCTTTAGTGATGGAATTTGCTTCTAGGCTTTTCTTTGCCAAAGACCTCCACAATAATTCACAGCACTCAATGAGATATCATTTAAAATGTGGAGCTTCTTATAGATGCTATTGTTCAGTTCTAGTTTAGTTATATTGCTTCATTCTTCTTAACCTCAGTTTTTTCTGTAATATGGAGATAAAATTAGTATCTACCAGACAGAGCTGTGTGAGATTAAATGAAGAAATGAAAGTGTGTGAGAATGTAATACCATGTTTGGGGCATAATAGTTCACTGTTTGAGGCACAAATCAATTTATACATTCATTCATTCACCAAATATTTAATTGATGACTTTTGATTTTAGTAAGCACTTCACCAAGGGCTGGGAATGTAGCACTGGACAGTAACAGACATAGTCTCTGTCTTCAAGATGCTTACATCCCAAGGCAGGGAAAAGAGGCTACATGGCAAATTGCCCAATTCATCATTTAATCACAGTTATGCTCAGTTTGAAGAAGGAGAAGTACATAATGAGATGACAGAGGAAACTCAGCTAATCTGAAAATCCGAGAAAGCTTTTTGGAGATGCTGACAGATGTTTTCTTCTATCTTATCTGGAAATCTGTTAGAGATCATGCAATTTGCAATATGCATGCCTATAAGTACAGAAAGAATCCAAGGGTTTTTTTTTCCTCTTACTGGATTGGTGAGTTGATGGATGTCCCACGTGGTTGTGTGAGTCTACATAAAACAGCAGAATAAACCTACAATTGTACCAATTTTATTCTGTTCTTTTTGAGCCAGGAAATACTTATTCTCATAGATGTTGCACACCCTTACATACAATTGTTCATCAGCAGGGTTTCTGTGCCTTTGGGTTCCTTTTGTCATCATCTATTTTTAAATGTTCTGCTGTTTTATTACTAGAGAGAAGATATTAGTTAGGCTATCTATAATACCTTCTTGTTATACACTGTCTTTTTCTAAGGCATAATTCAGCTATTTATGTTAGCTGGTAATGGCTTTGATCCCAAATCTTATTTTTAATCAAATTTCATAGCCATGAGAAAATAAAGAAAAGGACTAACCTATGAGCCGTCATTCATTCATTTATTCAGTCCATCTCGAGCCTTCTTTAATGTGCCACACACTCTCCTAAACGATGAAGATACACTGGGAGCCAGCCTGAGAAGTTTCTGCCTGCTTCAACAAGAACTCGAGGGAAAGGTGGCAGGCAGTTAAGTATAAAATGAGTGGGGCTCGGTGGCTCAGCCTGTAATCCCGCGCCTTTGGGAGGCTGAGGTGAGTGGATTGCCTGAGCCCGCAGGTTCGAGACCCGCATGGGCAACTTGGCGAGACCTCATCTCTACAATAAATCAAAAATTAGCAGGGTGTGCTAGCGCACGCCGGTAGTTCCAGCTACTTGGAAGACTGAGGCAGAAGGATCACCGAGCCCAGCAGGTCGAGGCTGCGGTGGCCGGGAGCGGCCACTGCACTCCGGTCTGGGTTACAGAGTGAGACTCCAACTCAAAAAAAAAAAGTACAAAACGATATTATTTTATTTTGGTAAGCACTAGATAGACACAGAGAGATGAGAGAGCCAGTGTCCTGCAATCTTTTTAGATAGAATGGTCAAGAGAAATCTCTCTATTGAGGTGACATTTGACTGAGCGATGAGACATGAGACAAAGAGCTATGAACTAAGACAGGAAAAGAGCATTCCAGATTCTCACCTGCACCCTGGGCTCTGGCCCTAGTGAGTGTCTCAGTGTTACGGAATCAAACCATGAGTTGTAGGATTGAGGCTGCTAATGCTTCTGGCGAGGTGTGAGGACATGTCCCAGGCTTCGCTAGAGCATAGTATCCTTATGGGAGGCTAGATATGTGGTGTAGCAGGAACAAAAGAAGGTGATACTGATTTCTTTTGGTTGAACCCATGTGTCTAAGATAAGCTAACAGCTGACTGAAGAAGGTAACATGGTTGATGATTGTTGCTTAAAACTTAATCCTGCCAACACCCCTGTCACCTGGACTGTGCCATTCAGTCATCTTTTTAGGGGACAGAATGTATGCAAGTCTCTGATTGCTTAGAAATGCAATAAAATTTTTGTATTTAGTGAATCATCTCTAGAGTTTCTTGCAAATAGTTCGACTACCATCGTTGGTTTTCAATACGGTCGTTGCCTGTGGCTTTATGAGAGACAATAGCAAAACTTGCTATCTTAAAAGGAATGAGCCACAAAGTCTAAGACTGTGACACTCTTTTATTTTCCTGCTTTTCTAGTAAATATCTTTGCCTATTGGACTGCATTGCAGCAAGCGCTTTAATAAGTATGGTCTATAGTAACACATCTCTGAGCACTTACCCACATGTGTTCTAGAGACAGCCAAGAGAACCACCCTCGCCACCCTCTAGGGGCCCTGCACATTGACATCACAGATTTTCACAATCACATATCTGTAACAGCAATGGGAAATTAGCAAAGAGCAACGGGCACCTCCCTTCTTTGAAGGGTATCACAGATGTAACTTAGCGACAAACGGCGTTTTCCCTCAGCCTGTCTCTTGTCAGCAACACAAAGGCTCATTGGAAATGGAATTCTGCTTTTCTTGGTTCTCTGGTGCCATCTGGAGGTTGGATGTTAGATTTGCATGCAATCATGGAATTGGCCTGCAAACAGGTCTAGGTGTGTGGGCAAGAGGCTCCAGCAGATAATTCATCATAAGTACTCTTAGTCTACTACATCCATAAAGGTGAAGTGATGTTCCAAACTGAGGAAACTATTTAGGTACTTTTAACCCCATCTCCGTTCCAGTTAAAAATCAAACAGCATTTGTTTAACAGGCGTGAAAGAATGAGCTATGCAGATGTGCGGTCTACATTTTAAGGGCTCATTAGGCAACTTTCCAGTGCTTCGCTTCAATTGCATTGATTGGATGCAAGCTTAAGTTGTGATAACCCAAGTTCGAGTGTTAGGAGGACAACAGGAAAATGTCTATGGCCTTTTTATTTAAGGCATGACTTCTGTAGATGGCTTACATTGGTTCAAACACCAGTTCCACTACTAACAAACTGTGTGGTCTTAAACAAGTCATAAACATTCTCTGTTTACTTCTTTCCAAAATGGACTTATTACTCTGAACCCTATACATTTATTGTGAGAATTAAATGGCCTGATGTGTATGAAAGTCCCTCCACAGAGCCTGAAGTATAGCACTCAACAAACATTAAGATGTATTAGATGGTACCAGATCTTTCTGAGTACTTTACCCAATACTCTATGAATTATGAGGTTTTCTAGTCTTGTGGGTAGGAGTAGGTTTTATCCCAGGAAAACTAACAAAACCCATGTAGTGAGCACTTCCAGAAAGGGTTAAGTGTTTACCTGACCACACTCTCTCCATGTGTGGGTTCAAGTTTAAAATGAACTGAACTAGAGTGTGCATGAGGTCAGGTTGCACATAAACAGATGGCTCTGCTTCTGAAAACAATTGTCAGAGTTCATATTTTCCACTGCAAATCCCAACAATGCAATTCTAATGGATTCTACCCGTGGGTCTTTCACGTGCTGGAGACGAACAAGATCTGATCTCTCCCAAGGAGAATTATGTTCATGCTTTATAATCCACTGGGGGACATTATACAAGCACATTCAAAATTCAGGTTTATTTTGGAATTCCACCCTAGATATACAAGAAAAAATTTCTAGATACACATGGGGAGTTGTGGGAGATGGTGAAATCTCCAAATGCAGGCAGGATGAAGGAGGGGTCCGTGATCTCCAATATGCTGCTTGTTGAAGGTGGAACAAGGTAAATGTAATGAAAGAACATGCTGCACTAGATTTTTTTTTCATTTTTCTTAACTTCGGATGAACACTAATTAACATCCAAAACAAGGAAATATTTTTGCTATGTTAGTAGTTGTTATTTTTATATCAGATAAAATAATATCTGATAATTATGCAGCATTTTATAGCTTGCAAAGAATTTGTATATATGGGAACAACATCAGGTGGTTTTATTTTTCTATACATATTAAGCAAGTTAATACAAGCAAAGCACCTTGGA